TATAAGTCAGGACTGTAAAATTGCTTACGCCTGCCTATCCAAAGGGAAAAAAGCTGGTGAGAGATGGAAATTTGGCTAAAGAAGCAACATGATCTTATACATTATATGTAAAAATAAACTAGATATTTAAAATTAAATTTATTATCTTACTCTTTTTGTCTATAATCATTGTAAAGGAATAATGCTTGGCTGTTCTTAATTTTTGCAGATATTGACGAGTGCATCCAGAATGGAGTTCTTTGTAAAAACGGTCGATGTGTTAACACAGATGGAAGTTTCCAGTGCATTTGCAATGCCGACTTTGAATTAACTACAGATGGAAAAAACTGTGTTGGTATGGAAATCTCCTGCTTGCAAAAGATTTTTAAAGGATATACATTTTTATTTAGAACCATATATATGGTTTCCATGAAAGCTCACAAACACACATGTGAGAGTTCTTCAGGTGATTTAGGGAAAATAGCAATACATTTAACGTAAAACTATTAAAGTGAAAGGACAGATATTTTTGAAAATGTTATAATAATAAATACTTTACTGCTTCTGGAAATTTCCTGTGTGGTATATGGTTAATTGTCAGTAGCCATTATTCTTTGCAATAAGTATAATATTTACTGTATTTCACACGTTGGTGTTACAACACTGACAAGGTGGAAAAGGTTTCTTCCACTCTCAGTCTGAGGGAATATAAAAATGTCTGGCATATGTGATAATCACATCTCAAAATTTGTGTTTCCGGTGACGTCTAGCCGTGCAGCAGTTACCATTATACCACAGAGCAACACATATTCTACCCACCAATGAAAGTCCACATCATTTCACTTGCAGTGAAGTTGGTCATTGCTTTATTCTCCCTTACAAAAGAGACATTCCCCTGAAATCGTATTATCTTTTTTGGTAATCAAAATAAAATGCTCTCACGTGGTTTTAATAGCCACTAAAGCACAATTTTACATAGCTCTTTTCCTTTATGTCCCTTATACTAAAGACCCTTCACATTCTCCACACTATTTGCTCTCACTCAGTTGGTGTTCACATTAGGGGGCGGGGGGAAATAACCTATGAGCACATGGCTCATTTATGTACTGGAATTTGGTGATTGTGGAAGGAGAGGAAACTAGTTCCCCCAAGACCAGTGGTCAAGTCCCTCTCTCTCCTCCCGCAGATCATGATGAATGTACAACTACCAACATGTGTTTGAATGGGATGTGCATTAATGAAGATGGCAGCTTCAAGTGCATCTGCAAACCAGGATTTGTCTTGGCTCCAAATGGGCGTTACTGTACTGGTATGTGTGGCTTTGAGATAGGAAAGTAACTGTGATTGAAACCATCTCTTTTGTTTGAATGAATCATGCAAGAATTACTTCAGTTTCTTCATGTGGATTTCATATTATTCACATCTCTTACTAATTCAGTAAGGCAGGTGTCTAAAGCTTCCTAGAAAAACATACATCGTGGTCTAAGGGCACATAATATCTTAACAAAAATAATATATAGGAAAAATTAAGGGAATGACAGATTTGTTCTAGCAAGTCTGAAAGAGACAATGTAGTAATAATTTTTCTCTACTCCTTGAGAGGAGGGGAGAAAAAATCTTGAAAGGTTTTCATTTTTATGTGTTCTCAGAACTAGATTTTCCAGTGTTGTTCATTGCTGGTTTGGTATTATATCTTTTCCATAAAGCTAATCTACAGATCATTTGTACCTATATCATTATCTGAAAATCTTCCACTAATTTAGTGAAGAAATAATTTAAGTATTCCTATCAATTGTTTCATTCATAGAGCCATTTGAAGGCCAACCTCTAGTTATAACTTTAATAAGCAAAAGTTATGCCTCTTGGAAATAAATAAGGCTATCTTATGTGTATACTCACAATTGGATTTCATAAGATGGAACAAATTTTGCAGTTCCTAGTCAAAACAAGTTCCCCACCCCGCCCCAGTTTTCTTTTTTTAGACAAAATTAACTCTGTGAATGCTTTCTGCCTTCAATTGCACAAATATATCTGGATACCAAATAAGATTTATAACTAATCCCTATAATTTCAGTGAAATTCCAAGGACATTAGAGAGAGAAAAGCAATACTGATTCTCGTGTTTCTGAATAAAAAAAATTACTTCTTGACTATTCAAGAAGGGAGTACAGGATTAAATAGAACTATTGTAGCTATGCTGATTGAACTCATGACTGGAATGTCATCTCAAGGTTAGCTGACTTGGATGTAACAGGATATGAGATTAGTGTTATATTCCAGTGTGGAGCATTACATTACAGTATATAACTTATTTCAGCATTTCTTAAGAAACTTAAAAACACATAGAAAGTGACTTAGATCTCATCAGTTTCTGCTTTCTTGAAATTATTTTTCATTAATTTATTTATTACAGATATAATCCATAAGTCTTGAAATGTTCGTGATTTGGAAACCTTGTGTCTTTGAAGGCTGTTTCATCATTTAGGGAAGCCATTTGATAAATTGAAGCAGATTGAAAATTAGAAGAGATAACACCGAACTATTTTATTATTATCAACTGATCAAATTAATATCAAAACAACATCCATCATAGTTAGAATTGTGTGTATGTAAATAAAAGGCAATTACAAAGTTCACCTTACTTTTAAGAATTTGTTTCACTTAACCAATTTGGATGAAATAGTACTTAATATTAAACAGGGTTGCCAAATAATGAAAAATGAGTTTGTAAGGCTCTTTTTTTCCTAATGTGTAAAGGCAACCTTCACTTAGTATTTCTGAAAATGAGTTTCAAAGAGTTGCATTTACAGATAAGATTTGTTTTCACATCTATGTATCTTCCATAAATTTTAAAATTAAAAACAGAAGGACGAAAGTCTAGAGTAGTGGCAATAGGTAAAAATAAAGTTAAATTTATCCAGTTTGAGCCTGGCTTGTGTTCACCTCTGGACAGATGTTGACGAGTGCCAGACCCCAGGAATCTGCATGAATGGGCATTGTATCAACAATGAAGGGTCCTTCCGCTGTGACTGCCCCCCAGGCCTGGCTGTGGGTGTGGACGGACGTGTGTGTGTCGGTAAGTGAAACATTCTATAATGGCCCCAGTGTCCAAATGATTTTTGAAAAAGGGACAGAGATAGATCCATGCAATGGAATAATATTCAGCAATAGAAAGAAGTGAAGTGTTGATAAAAGCAAGGATGAACCTTGAAAACATTATGCTGAGTGATAGAAGCCAGTTATAAAAGACCACATAGTATGTGATTCTGTTCATGAGAGATGTCTATAATAGGCAAATCTACAGAGACAGGGCAGATTAGTGGTTGCTTAGAGCAGAGAGAGTAGGGATGGCAGTAGAAGAGGGTGATAGATAAAGGTTATTTTTTAGGCAATGAATTGTTCTAAAATCAGCTGTAGTGATGGTTGTAAATATCTGTGAATATCTAAGAACTGTTGAATTGTACACTTTTATTTTTATTTTTAAATAACTTTTTCAATTACAGTTGACATACAATATTATATTAGGTTCACGTGCGCAATATAGTGGTTATTTATATAATTTACAAAGTGGTCACCCTGATAAATCTAGTACCCATCTGACACCATACATAGTTATTACAATATTATTGACTCTATTCCCTCTGCTGTACTTTACATCCTCATGACTATATTGTAACTACCAATTTGCACTTCTTAATCCCTTCCCTTTATTCACCATCCCCACTCCCAGCCTGCTCCCATCTGGCAACCATCAAAATGTTCTCTGTATCTATGAGTTTGTTTCTGTTCTGTTTGTTCATTTATTTTATTTTTTAGATTGCACATATGAGTGAAATCATATGGTATTTGTCTTTGTCTGTCCGGCTTACTTCACTCAGCTTAATACTCTCTAGGTCCATCCATGTTGTTGCAGATGGTAAGAGTTCATTCTTTGTTAATGGCCAAGTAATAATTTCATTGTATATATTACCACATCTTCTTTATCCAGTTGTCTGTCGATGGGCACATCGGTTGCTTCCATATCTTGGCTATCGTAAATAATGCTGCAGTGAACATAGGGGTGCATATATCTTTATAAATTACTGTATTTATTTGGATAAATACCCAGAAGTGGAATTACTTGTTCCTTCTTTGTCTCTCACTATATAGCCTTTGTTTTAAAGTCTGTTTTGCCTGGTGTAAGTATTGCTACCCTAGATTTTTGTTGGTTTGTTTCCATTTTCATGAAATATCTTTTTCTGTCCCTTTACTTTTAGTCAGTGTGTGTCTTTCGATCTGAAGTGAGTCTTTTGTAGGCAGTATGTAAGGATTTTGGTTTCTTATCCACTCAGTCACCCTCTATCTTTTGATTAGAGCATTTAATCCATTTACCTTTAAAGTAATTGTTGATAGATATGTAGTTATCGCCATTTTATTATTCATATTTTTTATCTTTTTTTTCTCCTTAAAACAGTCCCTTTAACATTTCTTGTAATACTGGTTTGGTGGTGGTGAACTTCTTTTTGTTTTTTGTGTCTGGGAGAATTGTACACTTTTAAATAGGTGATTTCTATGGTATGTGAATCATATCTCAATAAAGCAGTTCTTAAGAAATGGACAGAGAGCCCAGCTAGCTCCCTTCAAAAGGCTGTGGGGAGAGACAAGTCAAAAATGTTGGAGAAGAAAAAAAAAAATGTCCTTAAACCAGCATTCTCGATAATGTTAAATGACTGAGTTTCACAATACAGTGGATTTAGATTTTGTAATTAATAGCAAATAAGACAGCAAACAGGAATTATAGTTATGTATTTAAGCATACTCTTGTTTTTACCCAAACAAAATTTAAAACTTACATTTAACTTATATATTGGAACTTGGACTTATATCAAAAACTAGAAAGGTTTTCATGTAGTTATTCTCGATCTCTGTGCAGCTAACTATAGAAACAAGAGAAGAACATGAGAGAAAATTGTATTTTATTCTAAGCCATTCAAAATTCCTCTTGGATACTTTTGTCATATGGATTCCATGAAAATTAACCAGTTACTAGTCACCCGCTTTAAAGAAACAGGCAAAACAAAAATGTCATTGGCATTTCTGAACCCAACCACTATGTTCTAATGATAACAATAGCAGAGTGAGTTAGTTTTAAAAATATACTTAATGTATTTTTATCTCTAAAGTACATTCGTGAGATGTTTAGGGTGCATTGGCCATTGTGCACCCTCTATTTTTCAAGTTTTTCACTAAAAAGCCAATATACTTATTGGTTTAAATGTATATTTGAAAGAAATGAAATTCTTTCTAAGGTATAGTTGATAATACTTTACTTTTACCTGAGAGAATCAAAACATTTGGATCTTGAAGCAGGAAAAAAAGGAAAAGCACAGCAGATGGAAATAATCTGTCCACTTAAGTTCATCCATTCTATCCAATCTAGGATTTATTTCAGCTTACACGATTGTCAGCACTTTGTTCAGGATATTTCAAATATAGCAACTAGAAGAATGTAGCTCCTTCCAGCTTAGCAAGCTAAAATATCTTTAGTTGCTATAAGACACTTAGTTGCTTTTTTCCTTTACCTAAATGATTCTGTTGAAATCTACGGTATGTACAAAACCAGATTTGGAGAAAAAATGTTTTATTTTAAGTAATCAACATATGGGTAGTTGTTAGGAATGCAGTATCCAAACACAAAAATTCATTCTGTTCTTCACATACAGAAAAGGCATCAGAAATTTTTGGGAAAGCCCTCTCCACTGTTTTCTGATTGTGGTCACTTAAACTTTTTAATGCAAACACCATTTGTTATGTGCAAAAAAATATATATTACTGTTCCCATATCCTGCTAGGTATGCTTTCCTCATGTCTTCTGCCTTTGGTGATGCTTTTGAGATCCACTGACGGTTGAAGTAGAAACAAATCAGTATGATGAATTATTATTAGAGTTAGCACTTTAATGTTAGATTTCTTTTTCTTTTATTTGTTTGTTTGTTTTTGTTTCCCTGGATACTGAGATGTGGGTTTTTATTTCCAGAAATTTAAACTACTACTGTAACTAGTATGTTGAAGAAGTATGACTCACAGGCAGGGTATAAACAAAAGGCAACTCTATTTTAGTCTCTCCCGCCCTTTTAAAATTTATCTTTAAATTTATTTAATGGGAGCAGTTGATCCAATAAATAAGGAAGAAAACTCAGGTCACCCCATAACTTTACTACTTTTAGGTAACCAAAGAATTATATGACAACTTTATGTAATGAAAATAATCTGATTTAGAAATTAGAATCTCTAATGCCATATAATAATTAATATTCCGAACTTGATTTTTACTTACAACTTTCCTTCCAAGCTCAGGCCTTCATGAGCAAGAAGTTTTCTGACCCCACCGCGGTCAATGTGCAGGAGAGAGGAGAAGGCAGAAGCACTGATACTGTCCTAGAATGGCCTCAAGATTTCTGGGCTTCGCAGATGTTTAAAGCCAAGTTTTTCCTTGTGGGTGACTTCATGGGTCTTACAGAAACATTCAGTTGCCCTTTCTGAGATGCAGACACTGTATTTCTCTCCTGGTGGCCGTTCTTCACCCAACATTTGATCTTTTAACAGTCCACTTCAGATAGGCTGTCCTGATGGTGTCTCATCATCCCTCCACATGGTCATTTTAGACCCTCTCTTAATTTGGCCCATGTCTAATGCATAGGACGTGCCCATTTTTTGCCACGTGTATAGAGGTGGATCTCACCTCCCAACTTTGCTCCTGTCATAGGAATAGCAGCCACTCACCTTTGCCTGGTAAGCATCCCAGGCAGAAGTGGGTACAAAGCTTTTCAAAGGCTTCAGAGGTGAGGAGAGAAGCACTTCCAACTTATAACCTACCTCTTGCTTAAAAAATAAAAAATCTTTTTTGAACAATTTCTCTTTATTGCCACTCTCTTAAACTATTTATATCCTTGATATTGGGAAGGGTTTAAGGACCAGGTAACTAATTTTCCATATCTACTCCCCTAGGATGGAGTCTCCAAATTCACTTTGTTATTTGATATTTAGCACCGTGGGATTTCAGCTAAAAATTTGTTTACATCCTGTTAGATTAGCTTAAGAATATGTCAGCACCTTTATGAACACAAATATGTTCGACATATTTGTCAGCTAAAAGGTTAATTTTCTTTTTTTATTCTAGTTCTGCTACTTGTTAGCTGTGTGGCCTTCGGCATGATATAGTACCTGTCTGTGCCTCCTTTTCTCATTAGTTGTTTTGAGGGTTAAGTAAGTTAATATGAGATATATCTGTGTAAAGCTTTGAATAATGTCAGACACAGAGTCAGTGCCCAGTAAGTTAACTTACAGTTATTGTTTCATTAAATTAGAACAGTGGTATAACGTCTAATGCATAGTCTTGGAGTTGCTGCTTTAAGCAATACAGTTGATACGAAAGAAAGAAGAATAAACTAAAATTAGCATTTTGCATCCATACATACTTTACCAATGGTGTATAGACTATGATAAGTACCTGAGAAAATCTCTTAAAAACTCCAGTTTTTAAGAAAGAAAAGGCATGGAGACATTTGATAACATATGGGAAAGATACAGCTTAGCATGTAGGTCCAGTACCCTGCCAAAGCATTCATGTGGTCACGTTCTAAGTGTGCTACTGGTAAAGGCACCTCTTATCCTGTCCACCGGTGAACTGTGGCTTAGTTACATTTGAAGAGTATATGAACTAGGGTTTCAGTCTGGGGAAAGGGTCGATTATTCTCATTAAAGAAAGAAGAGAGAAATATGGTTGCCACCATTTTTTGAGCATTTTCCTTGTATCCTAAGCACTGTGCTTAATGCTTAACAAACATATTCTACTTATCATATAAACCTTTCTTATATAATAGTTGTGAAAAATGGTAATTTAAGTAAGGTCATCCTGCAGGGATCAGAGCCCAGGACAACTCATGTCCCTAAAACCCACACATAAGTCAGGGACCTTTCGGTGTTGTTAACCTATAACACAAATCAGTATGCGACCTGTCACACTCAAATGAGTACCATAGGCGTTTTGTAGACTTGCTTCTAAAAGTTGTGTGTGGCTTATGTTATTGACATGAAAGCAGAAATAACTTTGACCATTCTGTGATGCCTTCTGACATAATGGGTAACATCTGAAGAACTCAACAAAAATCATGTTGAAAATCATGAACTGTGTTGTGTTTGTGCAAATTTGTCTTTGTATCAAGTCCTATATTGTATATAACTCAGAGTTAACCGACAAACTCAGTCATAGCAAGAGCAGAAAGGGGCAACCCATCCCCTGCATGGGGTTGGTGTAGTAAATCTCACAGCCTTGTTCCGTTTGGGCATACAGACATCTCATTGTTTTAATGCAGCCATAAATCTCATTGTTTTACTGAGAAGCACTGCCTGATCATGAGGAGTCATTGGGTGACTCACTTTGCATAACAAGCAGATAAAATTATTTCCAAAAAATTGTGATTAATTATAGGTATTTATAATAACAGTTAACTGTGATGGAATTACCATGTCATTGTACTGCTTACAAGCTGTACTGCTTCTCTGAGCTTTATGATGATCTGAGTTTTTTTTATGGTTTATCATTTACTGTCTCATAAAGTTATAGCATATTTTATGAGAATTTAGAGTGAGAAAACTAAGCAGGATATTCTTCTTTGAGATGTAACATAACATAGTAGAAAAAGGAAGGGCTTTGGCAGTCACACAGATCTGAGCCAGCTCAGGCAGTGGATTGTCTAGGATTTGGAGTAGTTATATAATCCCTCTGAACCTCATCTTCCTCATCTGTGATGTGTGGATAATGATCACTGTCCTATGGAGTTGACCTGAATGCTCAATGAGATGATGTCTGTAAAGCAAAATTAGCATGATGCCAAGGACACATAGTGGTAGCTATTATTTGTAAAAACTGGATTTGTTGAGAGTCTGAGATTAAAACATAGTCACAGCAGTAAATGGAGGTTGCAAAGGATTTTTGTGTCATCTCAAGGTACTTCACTGTAATTCTTCGTTCATGAGAACTTCTAAAATAGAAATGATAATAAGTGTCATTTTGAGTAGAGCATAGCTAGTGATTAGAGCTCAGAGTGTTGTTTATAACTGTGGGAGTGTACCTGGTTCAACAAAAGGCCTGTGAGGGTAAATGGGATAATGGCTGTTTTTGTAGGATATAAAACTTCTTAAAGAACAAGAAAATGAGTTGTTAGTATGGATTCATCCTTCCCCTCACTCAGCAAACATTTGTTGGTTTTCTAACACTGTTGGATGCTAAAGATACAAAGAAATAGAAAAGAGGCAGCTGGCCTCTAGAAGCTTCCAATCTTAGGTTGAAAGAAGCCTTCAGTTTTGATCTCTATCTCTGTCACAACTTCAAAATTGTTGTTCTGTATCCTTTAGATACTCACATGCGCAGTACATGCTATGGTGGAATCAAGAAGGGAGTGTGTGTCCGTCCTTTCCCGGGTGCAGTGACCAAGTCTGAATGCTGCTGTGCCAACCCAGACTATGGTTTTGGAGAGCCCTGCCAGCCATGTCCTGCTAAAAATTCAGGTAGTCACATTGGCCAGTTTCACACCTGATAAAGAATCTAGAAATGTAACATTAGATATTTGGCCAAAGAGTACAATGACTCTGAAGTATTTTGTCATTATTTTTTATTAAACAAAAGAAATCCAAACCTGTGTTGGTGTGTGAGACATATAATGAGATTTAGTTTGTATTTACCTATGATCTCTAGACAAAGAGAATAAATGGAGAATAGAAAAATTTATTTGCTGATTCAATTATGATCAAACAGATTTCTTACATGAATATATTAGTTTCAGTGCCCTTGATCTATGACATTATTGTGAAGACAAATAGCATAAAATTTATTTATAGCTTTCAAGATTATAATAAATTCACGAGAACTTGATTTTATTTATTTTTATCTTAACAGAATGGTCTTAGGCCACAGTCTGTTTGCTATTCCAGACTCTAGGTTGATAAGGTTAACTCTGTTTATTCATACTTTTACTAGACCTGTATTGAATATATAAACTTGTATTGAGTGTATGTAGGTATAATACAGATTTTATAAACAAAATCTCTTTTTCCTTAAAGTAGCGTATAGTTGAGAATATAGGTAGGTGAACATTACAATTTAGTATGATTAGCCCCTTTATAGGCACATAAAAAAAGAACTGGAAGAGCATACAGGAGAAAATAGTTGCCTTGGGAATCTGGGAAGGACTTCACAGAGAGGGGCGCGTTTAGTTCGGTCTTGAAATAAGTAAGAACTTCCCATGTGGAAGATGGAAGGAAAGCATTCCAGCAAAAGAAATGGCTAATTTCGTTCCATTAAAAATTCTAAACGGGTTGTTGAAACCTTGGTAAAATGATGAAAGTTCATCTAGAAGAATTACTGAATATGACACTTTAAAAAAAAGAGTCAATGAAGGAAATCTTATCCTAAAATATATTAAATTGAATTATGCATATTATGAAAGAGGTACAAAAATTGATAACAAGACTAGATTTAAAAGGTCAGTGAACTAAGTAAATTAATCTAAAAGCAGATGGGAATAGAAATAAATGATCTTGAAAAAAATGAGAACTTCCCACATGGAAGGTGGAAGGAAAGCGTTCCAGCAGGAAATGGCTTGTCATTACATTAAAAATCCTAAATGGATTGTTCAGACTTTCGCAAAACAACAAGAGTTCATCTAGAAATAAATAGGATAAAGATAGCATTTACATCTGTGAGGAAAAATTGAACTAAGTAATGAATATTGTTGATAAATATCAGAAAAATATAAAGTGAGCTCCAAACAAACCTTATAAAAATAATTTTCTTGCAGAATACATAAAATTTTGGTTATTTTGTGATGATAAAGGACTTTCAAAGCAAACATTAACAACTAAAACACACATATAAATTGGAAAACCATTTTCTTAATGTGTAACAAATTTACATTGATAAGGGAAGTTGAAATTTTTATAGAAAAAAATACACTGTACACAAACAAGATTTTACAAAGGAGAAATGCAAATAGTAGATTACCAGATGAAAAGATACTCAATCTTCTAAAATTAAAAGAAAATTAAAGTAAGATGTCATCTGTTCTTATTACATTAGTAAAGTATGATTTGTTCCTTTGTTGGGGAGAATGTACAAAAATGGATACTCTCATATACTTATGGTAGAAGGGTAACCTGGAACATTTAGGGAGCAGAAGACTATTTTTGGAATTCTTAAAGTAATTATGTGCTAGAAAATGTTCTTTTTATTTTGAAAATTAATGTAGTTCTTATTAATGATAGTTTTGGAGTTGTATAAGTGACTGGTTCTTTTTATTTTGAAAATTAATGTAGTTCTTATTAATGATAGTTTTGGAGTTGTGTAAGTGACTGGTTGTGTAAAACAGATACAGTTTAGAGTTTTTAATTTCTTTATTTGTTTTCATCATATAGCTGAATTCCATGGTCTTTGTAGTAGTGGAGTAGGTATCACAGTGGATGGAAGAGGTAATTCTATTCTATTCTACATCTTATAAAATTATATAATTGTATAGCTTTTTAATTCTGTTGTAACATGAATATGATTATATCTAATAATAAAAATATAGCAGTTTAAAATAACAAGATAAACTATCTCTTAGAACAATGCTTATAAGGTAGATGATTATCAAGTAGTATGCTGATGCACCTTTAACATAGTGGATAAATATGCATCTGTTAAATATGCATTGTTAAAAATGTCAATAATAAACTACACCCATGATTTTATGGATGCCATTGCTTAAGAAGAGACTAGAGTTGATATTTAGGTTAGAAAAAAGTCAGTCGATTTAAAGAAAAAATAAATAAATAATGGTGCTGACATGGTTAAAAAAATCTTTCAGAGGTATTTGGTAAGGATCAAGTTTGGGATATACTGCCCCAAAAATAAATTGTTAGGAACATTTATGGCTAGGAATACTAAATTGTTTTCAACCAGTGGTAGAAATGAAATTTATTAAAGTTTTATTTTACATTTAGTAATATGATTAATAAAATTCCAAAATGGAACCTTAAATATTGAGTACATATGTGTTCATAATTTTAAAGTTACTTTATATGTTAATATAAAGAAAATAAAACTGTAGGGTACTGTTAATCTTCACTTTGCATATATATTCTACTTTCATGTTCGAAAAGACTTTAGACAAATTATAGATTAGTTGACAGTAATGTTGCATCTTTGCAATGAATGTTGGAAACCCAAGTAAAGAAAATTTTACAAGATGTGTCTCCCAAAAACAAAATGACAGGCTGACATTTCTGGAGTATTTAAGGTCTTCTAAATTCTAGAAAACGATAATTAGCATCAAAATTTGAGCATTGTGACCAAAATTTGATTTTATGCCTATTCTGTATTTCATTACCTCTCAATATGGCCTCCCAAGCAGAGCCAGCTACCTATTGAAACTGGTTGCTCACACAAGCACATCATTCCTCAAGTCCCCCTGCACATGGGTGACAGGGAGTCATGTTCATGGCTTATTGTAAAAAATCATGTTCTCAGGCATCCACATTTAAACTGTCCTCTCCATTAATTTCATCTTATCAACAGAAACATTTATTAAGTATCATATTACTTAGTTGAAGATAAAATATGATAATAAAATAGAAATATTCTGTGCCTTTTGGGACCATAAAATTATATAGACTACCCTAGTAAATCTTTGTCTTTTAATCTGATGGTTATAATACCTATCAAGATGAATTTTCTTTTAGATTTTGAGCCAACAGCCTATAAATTTCTTTATTAATTTTATCACAAATACAGGCACATTATGTAGTTTAATTCTTTGAATATCTGCCAGTTACCTTCATTTTTTATTTGATCTACCACTGAAGTGTCCTACATCTCTCAGTTTTATTCTTAGTCATTATTTTTGTTTCCTTTCCCTTTCTGAAAGGTAGGCAAATTGTGGGTTTACAGAGTCAAACACTTCATATGTTGAATGATCTTCATTAGACCTGCATGTATCAACAAACAATAAAATGTCTGTGAGCATTAAACTCTCAACATTTGATGCAGATATCAATGAATGTGCATTGGATCCCGATATATGTGCCAATGGAATTTGTGAAAACTTACGTGGTAGTTACCGTTGCAATTGCAACAGTGGCTATGAACCAGATGCCTCTGGAAGAAACTGTATTGGTAAGTTATT